AATATATATTTTTTCGATTAGTTTTATTTGACTGAAATATAAAAAAGGGGCAAAAACACTTATTTTTTAAATTGAGATAAAAAACAGTTTGTTTAAAAGTTGCGTTAAAGAAAAATAATTCTAAAAATTTGAACTTTCTTTAGGAGTTGACTATCATGCTGAACACCTGTTCAAATAGATTCTCATTTTTACTATATTAAAAAATGATATCAAAGAATTGTACCAAATGTCATTGTTTCCACATAGTTAAGAAACAATTATCAGAATAGGCACTTCATAACTGGATGCGAGGTTGATTCAGATAGATAGGATTTATCTGTTCAGTAATCGGTTTACAATATTCCTGTGTACTTAACAAGATAATTAAATATGCACAGATAGTTGGATAAGTTTGGAATGATCCCTGTTACCTGATGTTTATTGAACATTAACCATTAGGTTGAGACAAGATAATATATATATTATAGTAACTACTGCAAGCTTGACCATATACATTTATTTTTCGTCTGAGCTGCAAGGAAGTACATTGATATATTTATATTTAAATTGTCTTCCTGTTGAAATTACCTGTGGTTGACTTGAGTTGTTGGTAAATATTATGCACCAATGTTGATAATGACCAAGTCTTTTTTTCATGCTGTAAGTTTTGTCTGAACATTACTTAAAGGTTAAACAAGATACAGATTATCTTTTTTTAAAGAAGGAAGAAAGTATATATCTTTCATCTTTTTCATGCATGTGGTCACAAATAACATGTTGATAAGATCAGGTAAAAAAATATCAGTTGAAATACATGTACTAGTAAAAAATATACATTTGTTTTGTGATTTTCATCAGTAATGGAGATTTGACTTCACCCTGAAAGAGGAAAAAATTGTCGGAAAGTGAACAGATAATGTATTAAGACATCTTTTGATATGGTATCTTGCTATCATGCAATCTTGGATATTAAGTTCCTGATGATGGGTCTGAAGCAATTTTCTATTAGTTGTTGTGTCTAGCGATTAATGATTTACAGACCCAAGTGAATTATTGACGACTCGGGAGGCTCTGACAAGTTGGTCATCATGTGAAGTATTGAATTCGTAGTTGTGCAAGGAATTACTTAGAGGAGTCTTCCCCATCGACCCCAGTAATTGACCAATCAAAATCTTATTTACTTGGCATTCTGAACTCATTGGCTTTCACTTGCGATTGTACACAACCGGGTATTATTACAATGTATACTTTTTCTCAATACCAAACACGGTTGGGTTTGTTCCATTTGTTTGAATATGTGGAGAATGCCAGGTATAACGCACCAGGTAGATTGTCTTTGTAATGTAGCCGGGAGAACACTGTGAGTAACGTGAGACCGCCTGCAGTGGGGGCACAAGGAAAAACATGGATGGTGAAGATTAGGGAGAGGATTATTTCTGCGTATTGACAAATCTCAGCAAAATGGATGGGGAATTGTCAAGGAAAATGAGAGCAACGCAGTTTGTTGCTGCTGATGTCAGGTACCAAGACAGACTGAAGGAGTTGAAAGGTAAGATGAAGTGAAATGTTCAGTTTGTACCTGACATTCAGGAGAACTGATATATGTCAACAGGCATTGCCTGCCTCCCAGCCTTATGTAATTCAATGCAAAATATTGGAATTATGGAACACGGTTTTGAATACATGGCTTCTAATAGAAATGGAATTGCTCATATATATATATATTTATATATGATAAAGCGATTTCTGTAATTTCAGTAAAAGCAAAGTGTCATCTAGATTATCACAATATTTGAATTTTTTTCTGGAATGGTTAAACCAGGTGAAAAGTTGGAAAAACAGAGGGGAGGATTTCATGATAATTGGATAATATAGCTAAGGCGAACAATTACAGCTTGTCCATCTCTGTGGCATGTTGTCACACTAACATAGCCTTTTTAATCATGCCAGGGTATGGGTCTAGTAAAATGGGCGTTAAAGCTCACATTTGACCTGTAGTTTTGTAGCTCTTTCATGATATTAACAGTTAACAGAAAAAAATGTGTGATAGTGTGTAGTTTTTTGAGGCACATAGAATCCTGTCGTTTTTCAAGTTGAGGACAAACTGTTGTCCCCATAAAATTGTTTCTTCACCAAAAAGGATTAATGACATAATGGCTCGGTTAATGTTCCCTGAACCTTAGCTTTGCAATTGTCATTTAGAGGAGCTGTTACGTAGATCAATAAGGTTACATCGTTTTCACATCACTTGTGTAAATGTATGGTCCCCAGGCTTTGTCTGCAAATGTGCAGGGTCTGTAATGCAACCCACATGCAAACTTTCCAATATTGACTGATGTTCATATCTGTTTTGTATTATATATATGAAATGCAGTGTGCGTAGAATTAATATTTTGAATATTGAGTACTGCATAGTGTTATGGTTTTTCGCTTCAGTTTTTGAATATATTTTTGCTGTACAGTTCCTAGCATATATTTTATGAAGGGAAAGATTAAGAAGAAGAGTTGAATCATTTTTAAATTTACTGTGGCAATTCTGATGATTAATTTTTTTAAACAAAATATTAAAATAATGCAGTAATCTCACTAAAATATGCAACAAGTTTTACGTTTTACAAACTGTTGAAACAGATTGTTAAACAACATTTACATGTAGAAATGAAGAAGCATATCACTAGCCACCCAAGGAAAAAAGTTGCTGCATACCAAACTCCAGTTTCATTGTACCAGGTTCTTCATGCAATGCATTTTGTTGCATCTTCGTAGAACATTATTATGATAATAGGTCCTGACCGCCAACAGTAAGGAGGTTTTGTAAACTTTACTTAGCTCGGTAAACCATTTAATATCTCGCCAAAGGTCAGACTCGGAGTGTGAATTGCATAAAGCTGAGGTTAACAAAATATTTGGCGATGTCAGGATTAATATGTACAAAAGATCTTTGTCAGATCAGAATAAAACGGGAGAAAAAGGTGTTTTCAGCACTGTTATGAATAAAGGTCTGCACGAGGATTGGAAATTTGTAGAAAAAGAATTTTAGAAGTTACTGTTTACTCTGATTTTATGAATGAATCCCTCAATACCAGCAGCTGTGAATTTTATGCAAAGATTTTCTTGTTTTTGTGCAATCACGGATTGGATTCAAGACTGCACACTGGATATATTTGTAGAGTAAAATAATGAAAGAAATCTGGAAATTTAGAAAAGAATGTCATAGTTTAAAGAACATTCTCAGAATAGGCACTTCATAACTGGATGCCAGGTTGATTCAGATAGATAGGACATATCTGTTCAGAAATCAGTTTACAGTGTTCCTGTGTACTTAATAAGATAATTAAATATGCACAGATAGTTGGATAAGTTTGGAATGATCCCTGTTACCTGATGTTTATTGAACATTAGCCATTAGGTTGAGACAAGATAATGTATATTGTAGTAAAGTTGGTTTTGATAGAAAAAAAAAAGATGTTGCAGTGGCGCCATCTGTCAGCTTTATTGATATGCCTTGGTACAAATACTTTATATTCACTTGACTGCTTTTCACCCAAAAAAACATAATTTTTATTGCCATCAAATAACAGAAAGGTTCAGATTATTTATGGCTCATCTGAAATAAGCCATGCAGGGTCCACTGTAGTTATAATACAGATAAAGATAATAAAAGAAGTGGAATTTTAACCTGACATGTTCATTTCATCATAAATGCAACTAAATTAAATTAATTACGTAATTACATTGTTTTTATTCCACTTTGGGCAAATTTTCCATAAAAATCCACATGGATCACATTGACACACAGTAATTCATGCACACAGGTTCCACTCAGGAAGAGACTCCACATGCTGTGAAATAATTTGTGAAGTGCTTGACCAGTCTCAGGGGGATTATAATTAGATGATTTGTATGGTCAATTGATATGTCTGGACATGGACCAGACAGGGAGGTGAAATACCATTAAAAGTACTGCTGGCCTGGATATTTGGTCATTTAGGGTCAACAGGAAATTAACTGAACACACGCAGTCTTAGTGCAATATTTACCTTTAAGCATGTGGCAAAATTTGGAAAAATTTGTTTCAGATTGATGGATTGCTGAAAGGTGATTTTAGAATGTTTTGTTTAAGAACTGTTACATGTATCAAAGGGTTTTCTCATTTTTACATCAACCCTGGTATATGGGTATGTGCAATCAGAGACATAATAAAGATAATTATTAAAATTATTATTATTAAAAATGATTATTATTAAAATTCTGAATTGAGCCATAAAACTCAATAAAATTATTGTTTATTCATGATAAAACGAAATATCTGAAAAAAAAATCATAGTAATTTTTCAACACAGGTACTGGCACTGGTTGCATGGTGAACAAGGATTTTTGTCGTTTTGCCTTAATATTTTGGTTCAGTCTATTCCTGTTGGTCTGACTAAATGTACATAGAGGAGCTTCTTACCTTCTCCTGTTTGCATGACTGCTTTTTATAATACCAGGTGTACTGGCTAAATGCTCTATGATGTGACAAGTATTGATGATAACATTGCAGTAACATGTATCACATAAAAAAGTCACATAGATCAATCTTAATTTAATGGGTTCAGTGTGAAACCACCTACTTGGCTGTTAAAAGTATCATTTTATATGAGGGTTCACTTTTTTAAAACCATTTCCCAAGTAACACTTACTGATACTACCATGAAGATTACATTTGCTTTTAATAATTTTCACTAAATAATTTAAAATTGTGAATTGAGTTAATTGCCACCTTGTATCTGTAGGATAGACCTACATGTATTGTAGTAGTTGTCCTCAACATACTCACCCTCAATTAAAACACTCCTTCAAAAGAAATCCAATACCACTTTAGCCGGCCTGCTAAAAAATTCTGTTTGACAGATTATGTCCCAGTGTGTTATGTAAACTGTGCTGTTTGTTCTGCTAGTCAAATTTATTGGAAACTGTTATTGAGGTCATGTGACCACTCAGCGTTTCTGAAGTTTCAGAAGTTAATTGGGTCACAAATATCTGTCACAGCAGGGTACCGTGTAAGTCGGTTGAGCAAATGCCACCACTGTTTTTTTTTCAAGACAGGAATTTGCATGCACTGGCTTATGAAGGTGTGCCACTGCTCCAGCTGATGTTTGAAGTTGACGGTGGACTTTGAGGAAATTGATACTGCTGCTATTGTTGCTGGACCCTATACATGTAGGGCAAGGACAGATACTCTTTTTATAAAGGATCACTTAACACAAAAGATGTCTGCAAGGTTCACTGAGAGACAGGGCTTAGCCAAGAAAGGTATTGTTTTAGATGGGAATTTTTATCATTCAGTTTTTCAGTTCTTATAATTATTGGTCCCCCCATGAAGATAGGTGAAAAACTTATGTACAGGACTAACATGTATGATCAATATGATCTTGAACTAGAAAAAATAACTGTGAATATGGTGTAATATATTATGCCTGGTAATTTCTGGATTTTGGCAAGAATTCTTGAACAGTGAATAAAAACTTTTGTTTTCCACCCATTCTATATTACAAGGCAGCAGGTGACATGTTTGAGTAGGATTGGAAATCCATAAGTCTCCTTGATTAGTAACAACAAAGGAATCCGCCACCTCTGTTCAGTATTGTTAATTGTGCTGATCTTTAAACAGTTGTGTTGGTGTACATTGGAGCTGGTCATTCAGTCTTCTCACTCAAGCTCAAAATGTACCCAAACACTGGGCTGACTGTGAATAATGAATAAACAAACGTAAAGTTCAGCACATTTTCAAAACGCAGGCCTCATAATAAGTTTTGTTTCAGTTGTTTGATATAGGCAACCTCACAGTTGCAGTTGAAGGGGGTATTTTAAGTTGATTGTAGGGTCTGGTTGTTTTATACATAACAACATTAGATTAGGCAGCAGGGCCGAGCGTGTTTATACAGGGTTAAATAGTTCTTCATGTATCATACTTTCTGTTATGTTGCTTGGTTAGAATATGGTTGCAATGGTTTTTATTTGATCATGTTCTTGTGACTATGTGAGGTTCTAGGGCCCAGGTTCTAGGACTGTTGATGCCTTGCCAACATGTTGTTTTATATTGCCAGGTCTGGTAGAAAAGAGCAAAAGCACTCCCTATACGGTACAAGAGTTCTCATTAGTATAAAGTGCAAGCCACTTAAACAACAATTTTGAGTGACTGTAATTTTTTTTCTTATTTGAGGTAAAAGTTCCCTTTGTAGGAGGCAGCTTTCTTCCACACGTGTTCCCATTCACTTGCACAGTATCCATGGAGGCATGCTGAAAGCATAGTGTTGCCATGGCGTTTCTATGGCAATGGTAAACCAATCTCGCAAACAGACCCTCTGAGTGGAGTGAAAGGTACAGCCAGGTCACAGCGGTGTTGCAGTCACCATGTTGTATATTAGCAGTGTAATATGTGACTCCCCTCAGCACACAATAACTGTACAATTTATGGGCTAGGCCTGACCCTGGTACTGCAATAAATTTGAATTTGATTGCAGACATGATTTTAATGGCCTACTTATCTTGGTTATTGCAGTGGGCAAGCTGTGGCTTTTCGAAATCTTAACTTTATGTCCAGATTGTGTTTCTTATGGGAGCGACATAATATTAAATTCCTGGAAAAATTATAATGCATCTTATTTGTATATCCTAAGACTGTAAGTTGATTTATTAACCCCATAACTAACAACCCATAATTTTGTTCTATTTTGAATATACTTTGAGGTTTTGTTTGGTGAAAATGCAGGTCAAGTTCACAAAGCAGATTAAGCCTTTACTGCTGTGTAATATTGAATTCCTGGATAAATTATGATACCCCTTGTTTGTACATAGAGACATTGGGAGTGTATATCCTGGTTGACTATCTGCCTGTGGAGCTGTTGTGTAACCTTCTGTTTACCCCATGGCTGCTAAACCATATTTCTTTTCTGCTTTGAAATTAATTTGAGTTTTTTTTTTTTTTTTTTTTTTTTTTTTTTTTTTTTGTGAAAATACAGGTCGAGTTCACAAATCTGCATAAGCTAGTTTTTTTCATGTTATTGCATTTCTTGCTTCACAGCTCCCCAATCATAGTTTTGTTTTACTAGTTTAGATTTCCTAGGAGATTTTGTTTTGTTAAAATACAGGGAAAGTTTGAAAATTGCCCTAATTGTACAACACAAGGTAATTTTTAATGTATTCAATGATTTTATTTATATCTGTTCTTGTAAGGAAAACATCATCCAAAATCTTCTCCAGCACAATCCTACTGTGATAAAATCTCACCTGTCTTCTCTAACACATTGAATTTGGTCTACGTATGCATGGCACATTAAACAGTGGTTTGTGAAGTGTCAGTACATATACAGAATATAACCTTTGAAAGTTAAAATGTATAGGTGTGTGTGTGTGTGTGTGTGTGTGTGTGTGTGTGCGTGCATGCGCGATTAATGCAAAATGTAGCTTATGGTTGGAGAACTCGGGAGTATTGAGGATGGAACATTCAGATGAAGCACATTGTTCAGCAACACTTCAGAGAAAATAATGCTTCTGAAAAAATCCCTGAAGAAGGCCTAGGGGCTGAAAGCTTTGGATAATTAGACAATAATTTCTGTATTTTTTCATCCCGTGACTGCCAAGCTATATTTCGGTCTCAGTTGAAAATGCTCAGTACAGACATTTTAACTTGTACAAAACACTGCAATTAATCAAGTTGCCAACTTTATTAGTAAGATGATATATATAGAAAGTATTAAAGAAGATTTAAGTCTCCTTCTGGGTGTTTGCTTTAGTTAGACAAATTATGTACAATAACGAGGGCTCATCGCAGATTGCATGCTACCGTTTCATCCAGGCTTTTGATCGCACTCTTGATACTCATCATTTCATGGTTTACTCAGTGCTAAGATAATGAATTGGATAATAAGGTAATTTAGCCCTTAAAGAAAGTGTTAACGTTTAGATTGTTTTTTTTCCTACAATGTGTTTTTCAAACCAATTAGCAGATTACGTAATTTGATAAAGTTTTGAATGGTTTTGTTTCTCGTAATATTGACTTTTCTTTTTGTTGTGACTTCAATTTGCATTTGTGTTATTGATTGAAGTTGGGTCTCACTTACTGAATCAAAGCCTCAGGTAAACAAACTTTTCATTAGGATGGTCATAGGATAGTAGATGGGGACTTTATTGATCCCATACAAGTAAGTTTAGGTACATACAGGCTGCAAGAACCCATCAGCCTCTCTGGTGTATCCAGTATGGGATGTGGAGCAGTGTAATTGTGCCTTAAATTGCCTGTAAAGTTATAAAATTTGCGCCATTGTCTACTAATTGAAAACAGTTATTTCTGCAAATTTAAGCTTCAAATTTTTCAAAGGCAGTTTTTTCAATTGTTTGAATGGGACGTACACAAATGCTGGTTGAAAGAACCGGCTGTGTTATTGTTTGACCAGAGAACGCGACCACCACTAGCAAGGCAGAGGTGATAGACTTTCAATGCTTCATAGAGCCAGAACCCAGGGACGTATTTACTTATGAATGGGGCATTGTGAGGTAATTATTCAGAACTCAGGTGTATTCTATGTTCACTTTCTCCAGCCATTAAACACAGTGTGTAAACACAACAGTGCATGCAAACAAACTTCATTTAGGCTAAGCGTATACTAACGCCAATGAAAATCGAGAATGACACGAATTTGTACATGGAACTTGAGAAACATTTGACAGAGGATTTGTCCGATTTTCGTGGGAATTTCCTTGAAGGCAACAAGATCCAGGAATAACAAATGTGAAGAATGCTGTGAGAATTGTATCAGAAGCATAAACTCACATTGCACTTTTAGCTCTCAGGAATGCAACTGACCATAATAGGACAGGGAAAGGTGAACATCGCTGGAAACTATACAATATATCTATATATATAAGAAGCTTATATCTGAACGAGTGTCACCAGGGAGGTACTTACAAACTGAAGGAGAATGTTGTTTTGACGGCTCACATAATAAGTCACGAGGGACCAGCTGGGACTTGTGCACAACACAAATATTTTATGGAGGGACATTGACTTAATTCACAGGATGGAGATATTGGCCACACACAGGTGATAGATTTGAGAAATAGGTGTAAAAAAATCTTTCAAAACCTTTTTGAATGAAGATTTACTTACAGAACTCAACCTGTGTTTTTGACCTGTTAAATCTTATTATGTGACAGAAGAATGTTACAAGGACTTGGAGGTTCATTTATCCAACTTACTTAAGTCCATTTTATGATTGATTTTCAATCGCAACCAGAAAGTTAAACATGCATTTAAGAAGATTGCTTGGAGAAAATTGATTGGTTAGCTATCATATTGCCTGATCATCAAAAGGAGAAAATTTATACAATCTAAAAACCCAAGTGCACGGGAAATTCTAATGGCATTTTGAAAGATATTGAATATTGTATGGGAGGGACAAGCAAGACATTTCTTTCAACCCACGGAAACTGATAAAGTACTAATAAATAATCAAACAGTTTATGCCAGTGCCCAAGTTTTGTACATGTAACTATCACCCAAAGGAGGATGAACAAGTAATAAATAATTTATCATTTGTGAATGGCAAAGCAATACGAGATAGGTAATGATGCATACTACAATAACCAGTGAATCTAAATAAGCTTTGAAGGAAACGAAAATGGACGCAAGATATTGATTGAAAGTGACTGCTTATGGCGGTCCCTACTGTGTGATTAATGGATGGAAAGGAAAAGGTACGCAAAAGGAAGAAAAAGTGCAAGTCTTGTAAACTCTGCTGTTGTGCAGCCAATCGCGGCTCCTGGACAGACGTACGAAACCCACCTATAAAATTTGAACCGAGCGAAATTTCTAAGGACAACAGTACTTTACCGGGTACACAACGTTCCCCTGTTTCCAAGGCAGGGTTTGTGGAAGAGGAAGGTGAGAGACCTAATTTAGAATTAAGAAAACCTAGAGATATTCCTGTAAGTAGTGACAATAAAGAACCAGACATGGCTGCTAATTCGGGAAAATGTCCTCTTGGAAATCCAACCTCAGAGGAAGCACCATTGCTTCATTGGCGTATAGCAACAGAACGTCCAAAACGCCATGACGACAGTGGCTTCCTGAGCGAGCCTAGCATTAGGACGCGTGTGCCAAGCTCAAATTTAGACGAAACACACGAGGATATGTCAGACTTTGAGCCAATAGGTCGCTCCAGTCCCGTACTGGATAATTTGCTCCCATCAGATTGGGGTCCGAGGAGCAGGAAGCCATTGATTGGGCCTCACACGGAGAGTCTGGCTCATAT